GCTAAAATATATTTAAAACATATTAAAATCTCATTTTTAAAATATACTTGACTCCAAAATACCAAAAATTGAATAAAAAATGCTAAAAAATAAGCAAAAAGAATTTAAAACATACCAAAACCTCAAAATTAAGTAAGAAATCTCCAAAAAAAAAAACAATCAATTAAGAGCTCAATATTAAACATTTTGGTTAACACCTTAGGTTTTTATCAACAATGGTGACAACAAAAATGTGGAGACAATTTTTCAAATAATACAAAAAAGTATTTATAAAAAATAAAAATTTTCTATAATAGTATTTATACAAAAAAAAATCTTAAAAAAGTTGAAAAATTACATTAATTTCTAAAAGTAAAAATCTAACAAAAGTGTAGGGAAATATCTTATAAATTTAAGAAATTTACATAATTTTCATTAATTAGTATAAGAGAAAATAAATTTTTAAGATGGATTTTTCATTTTTTTAATAAAGAAATAATGCACATCTTCCTCTGAAGATCTAGCTTCGACAGGGTCTCTAGAAGGGTACCCCAGATGCGAATTTTTAAACGATACCTTCTTTTTAACTTTATGATATTTCTGACAACCATGGTCAGCGCTCACCTCTGCTTGTTGTAGAACGCTATCAACAGGTGCAGAGAGTGAAGGAGACAGCTCCTTAAAAGTTAATTAAATTTTTATAAAGAAATAATAGGAAAAAAATTCATAATTTTCACTTATTTGAAAAGGAAGTAAGGATTTTTCATTTTTTGCGTAAGGAAATAATAGGAAAAAACTCATATTTTTCAAAAAAATTTTCAATTGTTATAACATAAAAATTTTTGCTCAAACCCCCATTTTTACAAATAAGCTTAGTACAACTTATTGGAACTATCTGACCCAGCCAAAGTAGGACTATTATTATTTATTATAAATCTAATATAGTACTCCCTTACTAATATAGTGCTCCATTCCAAAAACAAAAGCCCAAAAATACAATAATTAAATCCCCACTACTAAAACTCTCTTTCTTTCAAATTACTACCACTTTATAAGAACCTAAATAAGTTCCATATACTTTCAACTAATTCAGATTAACAGTTAAATAAAATTCTTTTGATTCTCTGAAATATAGATTAAATTCTAGCATAATCTTTTCCATCTATTTTTTTTTAATTAGGGATAAGTGATATAATCATGAAAATATTAATGAATCTCAATCAAATAATGACAATACAATAATACTATAAATTTTAATATAAATAACAACACTTTTTAGAAGTAAATTAAGATTTAGAGAACTCAAATTCATTTGAAAATAAAGATGTAGTAATATTAATTTAAAATATTTAATGTATTGTTAAATTATGGATATATTTGACTTAAGATATTGGTTCTTTTAATATGATTCTAAAAAAACTAATAATACATTCAAATTTTTTTGTTTTGTTTACTCTTATTTTTAGAGTCTAGTAAAATTAATAAATTTTCTTTTTGGAAGATAGGATTAATTATCTAAACTTTTGGTTTCTAGGATAAGATTTAATGTTTTTTAAGGGCTGCTTTTAATTTCAAAATGTTAGCTTTCACTCTTTAATTGGTTTCAGCTTAAGTCTTCAAAATTTTTTTGCATATACTATTATTTGATTTAAATCTTTTTGGGAGAATCGACAAAATTGTTAATTTAATTTAATCTAAACTGTTTACCATTTCTCTAGAGTATGCATTCAATATGTATAATAACATTTTAATAAGCATTAAGATATTGATAATAATAAGAGAGATGAATAAAACAATTGATATATTTTAAAATTATTGCTGTTAATCCATATTTAAGCAAATTCCTAAAATCATTGAAACCCCACAAACAATTGAAGATTGATAATCCAATAAATTTAATCTAGAGGTTCTAAAAGGTATAAATTTAAGATTCAAAGACCAATAGCATAAGAGTAAAAAAAATATTAATGAACCTTTTAAAATAATAGAATCTTCATAAAATATTAAGAAGATAATAACCAATTCTTTTGTAACAATCTTTATAATCTCCCAAAAGTATGTTTATGGCTTATATTCATAATAAAGATATCCAAATACACTCTTACCTCTTTTATACTAAAGTTTGTCTTTATTATAGACCAGACATAGAAGCAAACCAAAAGGTATTATGACTCCAAATATAGATAACATTGGTACACATAATATAAGAACCCATCTATTATGAATAACTGTGTCAAATCTATATGCAACATAAGCTTAAATCCAGGGAACATTTGCTATGGTTCTAGTGGAAACCATAGCAATAAACGAGCCAATCAGAGTTGGTTAAAAATAAATATACATGTAGATTACAGCAGTCATGATAATAGGTGATTTGTATTTGATATACTTCATAAATATAAAGATGGCATAAATGATAGCTAGCATTAAAAAATAGATACAAGGAAGCAATAGCTACCAAATTAATCTACCATAGTGGATATCTAGAGATGTCATTTAAACTATATAGTACATAAATTTACTTAATTAACAATCCATAGAATACGAAACTCTTTAAATTGGATTTCCAACTCCATTTAAGAAATAGAAAAAATTAACTGGCAAATTCAATTTAAATGAAGTTAATGAACTTATTATTTACAAATAATTTGTAAGGATTTTTATTAAAAATGGAGATTCCAAAAAGGAATTTTCAGTAGTTATAGCTCCTTTTACACTTAAAACGATAGTAAATAAAGTCCTTTAGTAATATTATACAATTTATAATTACCAAATACTGAATGCTATGATTTATACTATATTGAATCTAATGTCATCACATGAACCACAAGAATATTCTTATGCTGTTGAAAATGATCCATCTCCTCTTATATTTTCAATATCACATAATTCACAAAGAGCTCCATAATGGCCTAAAAAGCAAGAATCCATTCCATATTTCCATCCCCCTACACAATTCTCATTAAAATTGTAACAATTTTCAATATAATTATTATCAAAATAAGGTCTCCAAAATCCCTATTGATTAATAATTTGTTTACTTATTTTAAGTTCAATTAAAATGAGGTAACACTTATTGTGGTTTACTCATCCCTTATATTGCATTTATTGGAATTAAGAGTGATAGAATATTAATCTAAATTAAAGTCACATTCATAACAAGATTAATTCGAGAGTGATTTTATTTCTCCTACCCTACATTTAAATGTATTGATATTAATGATTAATTGATAATTGTTATGAAATTATTATATTATCTACTTAGTTTCATCATATTAAGGAATTTTAATACTGTTGCAAGTAATAATTAACTATAAATAAGATTTACCAGTATTATTATTATCAAAATAAATTATCATATCATCTAAATTGTAATCATTTGTTTTTTCATTAAATATCACTGAATTTTTAGAAATATAACTACTTTTTGAAACTTCTAAATAAGTTTTTGATGTCAAATTATAGACTTTAGTTCCAATATTACATTAAGTATTTTTTAAATTCTTGATTTATGTGAATTAATTGTCTAAAGCTAAAATTCTAAATTTTAATTCCGCTTGTTCTAATATTTACATTTCTGAGTTGTATTTTTTATACAAACCTATAGGAGTACCACTTGGTAAGAATATTATATGATTCTTATTGAGAGAATTTACTTACTCTTTTAAGTAGTTTATGCTTTCGTCTACTTTAAAGGTTTAAAAAAATTTGTTGTTGTCATTTAAAGTTATTGATAAATGCAATGGTGCTTGGACATTATCATTACCATATTATGTAGCTCTATTGTCCGTTAAGATTGTTTTGGATTAATTCATATCTTAAGCTTAACTATTATCAAAATATATAGCCCCAGCTACTTAAGCATAATTAAATGAGATTTAACAATCAATTTAAAATAATTTAGATTATTTTCCAATAAAATAAATTGTGCCTCCGATTTTATTTGCTGTATTATTATAAAATAAGGAATTTCTTATTTAAATATTTGTATGATTGGAAAATAAACATGTTCCATAATCTGCTAAATTTCCAATGCATACATAATTTACAATATTTATGTCATGTCTAATTTCTTATACAATTTTTTCATAGTCTTGTGCTAATAACCTATTATATTTTGTGGAAATTATTTTGTTTTCATCAAAAACAATTGAATTAATATACAGACATCCAACCTTGCCGCAATGGTTATTCTTGATACTTAATTTCTTTACACTAATTTATAAATCTTCCTACTTAATTTCACTCCATTAAATAAAGATGAGTCCATTCAATGAATTAGAAAAATTATTATTGATCAAGCTTATTTCTGATAGTTCTATGATATGGGATTCTGTATTCAAATTGATCATGATTATGGCTTACTAATCGATTTAAGCTGAAGAAATAAATAAAAAGTGTAAACATTCTATTTCCTTACTACAATCTTATTGAATATCAACAATTAAGTTATTTAATGGTTTTTAGTTTATAACTTAGCATTACATATTTTTATAATTCTTTTTTTTTTCAACATAAGAAACATTACATTATGTTTAAGGTTTTGTGAATTCTTAGATATTTATAATAGATAAGGTTTGAATTAAAATAAAAGTATTTTAATCTAAAAAATAATAATAAATTAATACTCGTTTTTGGTTACATTTAAATTAATTTCTATCTTAGAATAGTGCCATTAAGAACTTTGATTGAATTTAAAATGGCATTCTACTAGTATAAACTCAAGAGTATTGATTCTCCAAATAAATTCTTAATAATTATATCAGTAAGATATACTATGGCATTTTCTAAGTATACTGTAACTCTTTCATTCAATTTATTCAAAATTATTTAATTTTCAACTATTTATCTGATATAATTTTAAAATGCATTTTATTGATTTGTAATATAAAGTTGTTTAATTGTTATACGATTAGACAAGGTATTATTTAAAAATGATGCATGAAGAACAGTGCCTTTAAATGAAATACATTAAGATATAGTCAAGTTTGAAAGGGTCAAATTCAAATTATCATAATCGGACTTAATATAGATTAAACCTCCATAATCTTTGGATGTTATGTTATATGCTATAATGTTTTAAATCAAAACTTAACTGTCACTAGATGGTATTTCTAAAAATATACATGCACCATTTTCCTCATTAAAATAAAAGAAAGTTTTCAAATTTAAGAATTGAATATCATTTAATTTCGTGATTTTAGCCTTTATGTATAATCCAACTCCATTTTTACCTTAAGAATTTTTTATTAAAGTGTTTGAACCAATTACTGAATCAGCTGAAAAATAAGCATTTCCTACATAATTTTGAAGTTAAAATATTGATTACAAATTGCTATAGAAGATAACTTAATCATTAGAAAATCCATAAACAATATTATTTTAAAGTGAATAGATATTATATATGGAGTTATTAATAAATTAAATTCCATCAAATTTAATTTATTTAGCAACTATATTTATTATGCTATCTGGGGTATTTGTAGCAAAATTATTATAAAAGTAATTATTTTGCAAATTTATGGATCCTGATGGACAATCGATTAGTAGACTTACAGCAGATGGCATTTATAAATTTTATTCATAATTATGCAATTAATTACCTGACATCGTTGCCTAAATTATATTGACAACTATCTTTTGTTTACTCATTATTGAAATTAGTGAAGCATAAGCATCATTAACTGAAGTAATTATTATGTTATCTTTCAAAAGTAAGTTCTAAAAAACAATTGAATCTTCAGAAGATTATAAAGTTGAAGATTATTTTTAAAATAATAGTAAACCTGAATTTAAGATGTTTATTCTTTCAATTATAAGAGTATCAAAAATGACATTTATAACATCCATAACTTTTATCAAGTTTGGATGTTAATTTTTGAATTGTTACATACTCGAGCATTCAAAATATTAATGCAAAACAGTGATTTTAGATTAAGTAATTTTCAAATTAATAAAACTTAAGAACAATACATTAGAAAACTAAAATTCGCTTAATCCATTTCCTCTAATGATATCACAATCTATAATTTTAACATTTTGCAATTATATATTAAATAAGTAATAAGGTTCTTGTTGAAATTCATTTAGATTATTATTTTACAACATTATATTATAGATTTCTAAGCCAGAAGTTGTAGAACTAAATGATTGTAAATCCAATATTTAAGTCTAATAGCTTGAGTTCAAATCTTCTATCATTAAATACATCATCGAATATTAGAGGTGAGTAGAAATTGATTATTTAGGGATATCATTTTGTATAAATTTCACATACCCTTAAGTTTAACAAGTCGAAATAACAAATGAAGTAATTCTAAATTGTTTCTCTAATTATAATAATGTTGAATCTATTAAATTCATGAACATTATACTAAAATTATCAATTTCTGCAATTACAACATTTTAAAAAGAGATAAAAGGGTATGTTTATTTCATTACACCAGTAATAAACATGTTAGAAATAGTGAATACATAAATTTCTGATGAAGTAACCAATAAAGAACAATTGACAAATTCTGAATTAATCCTTACATTATTCAAAAAGATTTAATACACTCCAGAAGAGATAATTTAAAAGATATTTGTAAAAGTTATATTGCTATTAGAAATTTAAAAATTTTCTATGCTAATCTAATTCTAGTATTTTACATATTCGAAGGAGAATATGCTTCTTAGATTTTCATTATCAATCTATATATTTTCAAGATGAACTTGATTAAATAGTAATGAATTTAATTAATTACATTAAAAATTAAAAAGAGTACTCTTAATTTATAGATATGAAGTTATAATGACTTTCTCCAATTATAATGTAATGCTTTAAAATCCATAAATATTTATAATTTTAGAATTAGTGTTTTATTTAATTGATATCTTTATATTCTCCATTCGAACAAACGAAAAATCAACAAAACTTAAATCATCTACAATCTCAAGAATTAAAGGCTCCTCAATCTCTGATATCAAATTCAATTGTATGTCGCTTAAGAATAAGAAATATTATTACATAGCACTAAATACATATTTGGAAAACTTTTAGGAAATATATCCAAATTGATCAATTGAACAAGTTTATTATTGCTATGATTTTAGAATAATTTTGATTCTTCTAACATTTAATTTGTTCAAAGTCTCAAAAATGTCATTAGTTTCATGCTATAAAAATTACTATAAAATGAATTACAAAACTGAAGCTATTTGATTCAATATTTTATTAAATTAGAGAATGAAATACTATATTATTCATTTGAAATTCTTTTTGAAGATTCTAATCAATAATTTATGATAATTATGTTTGATAATCTTCATAAGTGCAAAACAAATTTAATTCTATATTTAAAACATTCTCACATTACAAGAAATCTTCACAAGAAATAAACTAACCAAAATTTTAGTCATAATAGATATTTTCATTATTTAAAAAAGGTATTAAGCATTAATGAGTAAATTTTTAATTTTAATTAGTCTTAATGAAAAGAGAATTTAAATTAAATATTTCTTCATCTGTTCTTTCTCTACATAATTCACAATAACTGGGACAATCAGAGCATTAATATTAAATAACACTCAATTAATTATGATACTTATTCTTACCACAAGATTGACAAAAGTATTAATCATTTTTAAATATACAACTCTAGCATGTTGAATCACAATATTTAATACATTATCCATTTTTTAGCTTATAGCCTTCAATACAAGAAATGCAAATTGTTTCATAGTCATCAGGGTTCTGACTAAAATCATGAGAAGCAAACTTATAAATAGTTAAAAATATTTACAAAGAATCTTTTGTCATCTCGCATTTTTAAAAATTGGTTTAATATGGCTGTTTTTGATTTCCATTAATCATAATATCCAACACTTTATTGAAAACAAGTCTCACAATTTAATAATTCTGGACATCGTAAACATTATCCTCCTAAGCGATTAATATAGTATCCATCAAAGCATTCAAGACAATAATTTGGACTATAGGTATTTTCAATAAAGCAAAAATTGCAATTAGAGACATAATTTTAACAATTCTTTTCTCCTGTAAAACTCAATGCACCATAAGTATATTTACTAACTAAGCATGTTCTTTAAGATCCAGTATTAATTAAATCACCTGGAAACTCGTGAAAAATTCCAATTAGACAAGTTACTTCTTCCACTAACTTTTAACATTTTTTAGTGCTAACAATGTATTCATAATTTGGATCACATAATGCACAAACAGCCAGTTCATCAGATAAATCATTTGATGGTTAAAAATTATAAGAGTAGCTATTGTATTTAATACTCTAAGACTTAGAAATAATCATGACATATTGGCAATGAGATTTTTCAATAATTAAACAATCTATACCGTTAAACCTTATTGCCATAATTTTATCATCAAAGCATTTTAAACATCTTAAGAAATACTATTAATTTTATTAATTGTAATCTTATTTACAATATTAACAATTAATTCCACACTTTTAACATTAACCTTAATGAGTAGATGTATAGGATCTATTTAATTATACTAATATAATTACTAAACACAAGATAAACATTTTTCACCCAACTCAGAATTTAGATCTGTTTTACAGGTCAAACACTATGGTGAACATAGTTCACAACGTCTGGTTCTTATGTTAAAGTAATGAGATTCAATACATTCTAAGCAAACATGCTCAGATTGGCAATTTATACAATATGGATCACATAATTTGCAAACAGAATTGAAATTAAAAAAATGATTGTTTTTACATCTAATTTTTATTTATTAATTTAAATGATAGTTATTACTGAGCTAACATCCATGTAATGTATCTTCACAAAAATCTGATGCTCCTTCAAGAATTTGCAATTCTAATTCAGAATTTAAATAATAAACATCTATCTGACTATTTAATCTAAAATGCTTCAAATATGCATACGAGTTCTTTTCTTAAATTAAATCAAATGTGCAAACTGGTTTAAGGTACCAAGTTGAAAATTGAAAATAACAATCTCCACAAAAAAAATTCACTATGTCAGATTAAGGGCTAATAATAAAAATGATTTTCATACCATTATATACAAAAATATTCATATTCATATAACACTTAGAAATATCCAAATTAGCAAAACTTAGAAACTGATTCTTATTAAATTGTTAAACCATGTTAATCATCAATTTTATCACATTGATTTGTATTCTCATTATATGTATGAAGATATTTGCATTCACATTGATTAAATTAGGTTAAAAAGTAGTTATATTCTTCATAACAGGATGTAAAATGATAATTCAAAGGACCATTACAATTTTTACAACTTTTATAGCAATCTAAAGTTACTAATAAATTACCTTATTTGTCTTCATTATCTCCTTAAAAACCAGTAATAAATATAATCTTTTCTAATTTTGTCCGACTTATTCTAAAGGGTTCTTCATAAAATTAAAGGTTTAAAGTTATGAAATAACCTGTAAATTAAGAGTTATAATCATAAGTTCCTAAATTGTATATTTAAGGCTCCTCATCTTAAAAATAAAATCTTAATTAAAGTTTACCACCATTCTATGATGGTGTTCGACCATATTCTAAAATAAAATAATGCCATTTTTAAGTTAAATCATATAGATTATATCCATTGATTGTTAAAGTATCAAAATCTCTCAAACTGTCATCTTAATATTTTGGAGTTAGAATTGGTATTTTATAAAATTCTGTTTAAAAATGAATATTGGTCTAATTATTGTTCTAAAAATTAACCTACTCATAGTTTAAATTAAAATACTGTATAAAAGAATCTTGCGACTGCATCACCAACAAAGTGTTTATTTATACCAAATGGAGAGTCAATACGAAATATTGCTTGCATAAGTTGCATATGTTCTTCTCCATATTAAGTTTTATAAAAATCATAAGCCTAAACTATTTTTAATAAATACTTCTTAGTAATCTTATTTAATCCAACATTTTAATATGTAACGATTATTTATAATCGTTTCATGATAATTAAAATATATAGCCGTACCTTCAAATATCTAAGGCTCGAAATATTTAAATTCAGAAATTTCAGCTTTAGTTTGCTATTCTTAAAAGAAACATTTTGAAAACAAATTGTCAAAAAAATCATCCATAATTTAAAACTAGTCATATTCTTAGATAGGTGAAATATATCCTTTGAAATCATATAGTTTCATTCCATAAACATCATTTTAACTCAAATCTAATGATCCTCCAAGTTCGATGGTTATCTTATCTGAAATAATCTAATAAATCAAAGTTTATAGTTAAGATCCAATATTTGTAAACAATCGTATTGTTTAATCATCCATTGAATACACAAAAGATGTATAAATCCAAACATTTTCATATTGGCTTGCATCGAAAGACATTTAAACAAATTACAATTAATTTGGACCTATTGGAAATAAATAGAAATCATGTGTCAAACTTATAGGATCATCCTTCATGTTAAGAATGAGTGCAGCAAATAAATTTGATTATGAATCCAATAGTGTCATTAACAGAATACCTTAGAATTAGTAATCTTAGCTCTAGCAATATGGATCATAAAAAGGCATGGGTCCTTAGTACTGCGGGGTTAATCCTCTATTATGAATATATTTTGACCAAAATCCAAAACCCTTGGCATTCAGATTTGTAGAGTTTGTTTCTAGAGTAAAAGTATATTTTTATGGTCTTGTTTCATTAATTTCTAATATTGAATCATCATTTTCGTAATAACATTCCACAATCGTCTCCAACTGTATATCTTAAATCAGAAGTAGACCTATAAGGATTTTACTATAACATAATTATTAAATTTATGTAAGTCACTTTTTAATTAGATTTCTACGGAGCATTGTTATTGTTAAAAATCACATAACCTATATTTTTCAACAATAGTCAAGAAAGTGACAGATACAATATGTGAAATCGAATTCATGAATATACTTAAACAAAAACAGAAAAAAAGTCAACTCTTTTGTTAATTAATTTCTAAAATAACTAAAATTAATTTTTTTTTAGTTGCTTTTTGGAAAAATAATTAAATCATAATTATATATCTTTGGCATTTAGATTGATCTTTAATGGTGTTAAGATCATTATAGTAAGCATATAAAGAAAAAGTGATTATAAATTAATGTAAAAATTAGAAATATAAGGTCTGAGATTGTTGAGCTTATCTATTTTGAATGAGTCGTATTATGTATATGTATTGTTATAAATTACCTAAATAATAATTAACTATAACTGAAAATAATAAAGTGATATGAACACTTTAAAATTATTCGAAAATTAAATTCGCAAATTTCAATAAAAGAAAGTACACAATCTAAAGTGCGAGTTGTCAATTTAACTTAAGAATTTTCATCTATATTTCTATTTTTTTCATTTTCTTATAGTTTACGTCTAAGCTACTTAATGTCTAAGTTCCAGTGCTTTTGGCTAAGTATTGTAAGCAACCATATTGTTTTAGTAGAATTCTTTTAAATTTTTGTTTTAGGGTTATAAAAAGAAAATGTATTTACTAAAGTATCAAGTAAAATTATGAATAAGAATATTCATTCGATTCTCCAATTTAAGTTAGATCAATTTTCACTGATGAAAACTAATGAAAGGAATTCATTTCATATTCAAAGCATTCACTTTCAGTAAATGAACTAGAAATGAGATAAAAAATATCATATCAATTAAATAATCAAGGATTTATTATTGATAAATTTGATTTAAACTTTAACCTTTGCTTTAGAATTCACAATATAAACTTAATTTTAAATTAATACCTCATTCTAAAACAAAATCAAAGATTGCAGAAAAAAATAGAATAATTAAAATTCTAATTTAAGATTTGATGAATCTTAACAATTTTATTGATAAATTATTATAGGATATAAATGATTTTTAGGAAAGAATTAAAATGTTTTTTAATATAGATATTTTAAGAATTAGTTTTTTCTTAATTCTGAAACAAAATCAAATATTTGATCATTGGCTATTCCACTCTTTATAGAGTTTTTCAAATGAAAAAATTTATAGAGTATGAATATTTTTAAATAATTTTAAGGATATAGGATGGGTTGGGACATTGTTAGAATATTTAAAAATTTCAAATGATCCATGTTTTATGATAAGAATTACTTTTGGAAAATGGAACATCATTTTTATTTTATTTATTATAATTATAAGGATGCCAAAAGATTTTAGAGCATTGAGCATCAAACTATATTCTATACTTGATTAATAAAATCAAGAAACAATTATAAGTGTCTCCTTTTAGATTGATAATTCGATAATCATTTAGATACGGATAAGTCAAAAAAAAATTGTTTATTTATGATTAAAAGCAAGAAAACATTTCGACTATGATCATTAGGCTAAATTAAAGGATTATACAATAATCTTTAGTATATTTAATTCAATAAACTTTGAAGATTAATACTTTAATAGTTTATTTATTTTTTCTACAAATTAAGCATTAAACCTATTAAGGATTGAAATACTTAACTATCATAATCCAAATTTTTCTTTTATACATAAATTTTAATTTCTATAAATTAAAAATTCAAAATTTTTGGATTAGAAGTTCTATTTTCTTTTTGAGCATCTTATTTTGTTTCAAAATTTATAAATATTTTTCTATATCCGTTATGGTTATCAAGTATTTAGACGTTGCTTCTTATCATATTTTCTTATTATATATCATCCTTGACTCTTTCAATAGTTTTCTGTATTTTTATGCTCTTAAAAAAAATAAATTATCTTAATATTCATTGTCTTTTATAATGATTTTAAATTCATATTAAAGCTTGGTAAACATATATATTTTGAACAATCCTGGTCACATAGCTGAATCTTAGGTTAGTCCCTTTAGATAAAAGTATTTCCCTTATAATATCAAATAATCATAATTTAATTAGTCTTATAATGTCTCAGGAAACTAAACTTTTGGTTTCATTTTTAATCTATTTATGATTAAAAAATACTGATCCCTTTTCTAAATAAATAGTTTTACAACATTATTTTTCACAAAATCCATTTCATCTATAATTTTTTTTCTATTCTGAAGATATTTATTTTTCTTATATTTTATTTTATGTAACTAATTTCGAGTATTTTCTGCCTTACTTTCTACTTCACTTATCTTGTTATATCAACATTTTCTTGTTGGAATAAAGTGAGATGGAATAAAATAAATGATATAAATTATGATTCTACAATAATTAATAATTATTCTAATGGATCATACAAATAATCTTTACTTCATCAGAATTTTTATATATATTGCTTTAAGGGCTTAATGAACACTAAAATGAATTGCTCGAAAAGCTAAAATGATTTAATAATAAATAGTGCTTTGAATAACGAATTCATACAATTAATACATTTTGAGATTTAGAATTAAATAAACAATTAGTAGGGAATTGTTGAAAGTCACTATCAAATTAATTGTAATATGCAGGGTATCTAATGTCAAAAGATTCATGATAAAATCAACTTTTAAAACTTAAATTGAATTGATGGAATTTCTAAAAATAATTAATCGCCTTAGAATTGATTATATTTTATTATATTAATATTTGGGAATGAACTAATTCAATCATTTAGATTCATTTATTTTGATCATATTTTTGCAGAAAAAAATAGATGTCTAAGCAAATATTTACTGAATTTAATTGGCTATTGTACTCAAGAGAGTATTCATAAGCTCGAGTTGAAAACATACTCTAAAATAAACTATGTAAAATATAATATAAGTAAATATTTATTATAAATTTTTTCTGGAAATCTGAAACATTAGTAAAAATAGTAGATTTAGTATTATTCAAGAATTAAAAATATTGAAAATAATGAAATAGAATTTGATTATAAAAACTAAAACTTTCCTCAAGCATAAACATCTTATCCCTAAATTTAATAAAAGAAATAACGATAAGATTACTTTTCTAAATTGAATGCATGCCTCTCCATAATATAAACAGTATTTAAATTAATTTCTAATTCTTTTTGAGGACGATTCTGTTTTTTGTTTATCATAATACTTTTTACAATTAGTATCGACTAATTATCCCTGAATATTGGATATATGATGTTGTTTCCAGAATCTCTTTTAAAATTATAATTAAAAACTTTATAAATTCGATATAAACTTATCACGATAAATTTGTGTAATATATTAGAAATTGAGAGATTTTCAAAATAAATATTTAAAAAAAAAAAGACTTTATCTTTGTTATTTTTTCTATTTTGATAATAAAAGTACAATATATCAATTAGTGATATAATAATAAATAGAAACCAAAATATTAGTCATCGATTTTGCTAGCAATAATCATTTTTATTTAATAAAAATCCTTGCTAATGATTATAATAATATTTTCTCTCTTATTCAATTTAATCTTTTAACTTCTTTTACAAATAGCTATCGTAGATTTTCTGAATTTATTCATAAATATCTATAAATAAATTAGTAGTCAGAATAAAAGAAAATATACCTATATGAATCCAACGAATTAGCATATAAATATCTTAATTATATTCAAAACTATAAATTAAGAATGTTCCAGTTATCAACATAACTAAAAACTCTCTACAGATTAATTTATAAAGTTAATATTTAGATTATAAAGGTTTAAACTTGATTAAATAAATCATATAGAAGAAGGATAGCATAGAAAGCAAAATTGATTATGCTTCTGGAAAATTAATTAATTGAACATAAATAAAGAAATATTCTGAAATTTTAGAAGGATTTAAATTAAACTTACCAAAATTGTGTATTCGATTCAAAATAAAAATATTTCCATTTCCTTAAATCTTTTATTTCAGCAGAAGTTATTGAAAATAAATTAAAAGTTACTAGTATAAGAAAAAATAATCCAAAAATAGCATTAATGCTGTTGAAAATTTCAAATAATGTTTAAAATTTATAGTTGGGAAATTATAATAGTGTACTGAAAATAAGCTAATGTAAAATTGCTTAATAAACTGTAAATATTCCTAAAGCAAAATATTCAAATTTTAACTTTAAGCACTTTTTCTAAATCTTCACTTAAAAAAAATTTATAAGTTTTAGGATTTTAGAATTTTGTCTATACTTTGTCTAGAGTCAGGATACTAAACTTTATACAGTTTCAGACACTAATATATTATATATTAGATAAGTGATTATGGATGCAAAGACAGAAAAATAACAACTTTTTGCATTTATTAAATAAATTTAATTTAAAGAATTTACA